ATGGTTGGATGGATAATTGGATGGTTGGATGGATAATTGGATGGTTGGATGAACTGATTCCTGTCTGTATCTTTCCTCCTTTAAAACATTTGATCTCGTTTCATTAATTATCCAGGTTTGCTGCTTGTATTGATTTTCTCAGTTCAGCTCATAGAAACAGAAAATGGCCTCATCCTCTGGGAATCAGACCAAAGTGCTGATCAGATCCCAGATCAGCCTTCTGCCCTGAACGTTTTCTCCATGACCTCCCTGTTTTCCCTGCAGACGGACACAGACGTAGTGGTGCTGATAACCGGAGTTCTGGTGCTCATCACTCTGCTTCCCATGATCCCTCAAGCCGGGAAGCAGCACCTCTGGGAGTATTTCGACATCTTCGGCCGCCTGGCGTCGTGGAACCTCAAAAACCCAGGTAGGACAGGTTGCTGCTGAATTTTCTGGTAGCTCCGTGTTCGTCCTGCTAACCGTCTCCTCCCATCCAGGCCACGTTTCCGAGGTCTACCTGATCCACCTCCACGCCTCCGTCTACTCCCTCTTCCACAGGCTCTATGGAATGTATCCATGCAACTTTGTTTCCTACCTGCGCTCCCACTACAGCATGAAGGAGAACATGGAGACCTTTGAGGAGGTGGTGAAGGTGAGGTGTAATGTCACGAGTGAGCAGGCACTGCCCCTCATCTAGCAACCCCAGCTAAGCCCAGCTTGTTACCTAGCAACGCCAGTGGGACTCTGCCGATGGGCAGAGTTCCCATCAGCAACCAACCAAAGCTGAGGTCCAGCACGTTTGGTCTGCTGATTTTACCGCTGTACAATGGCTGCTGGAAAAGACAAGTGTTTTGTTGTGGATCTACCACCCATAAACCACTTTCTGGATTCTAGTTGATTGTGCAGGAGGCTCTACTAATGCTTTTTAAATATGTGAGGTTGTATAGTTGCGCATCTGTTTGCAGCCATTTTCAGGTGCGAGTGTAAATGTTGAATTGTGGGCGTGGCCAGCAGCAGATTATTTGGATTTAAAGTGACAGGAGGCCCTAAAACAGATAAAATCTCATTATCTAAGACTTATGATTTCATGACCAAATGTAACTGTGTGAAACCCTTTCAGCCAATGCTTGAACATGTTCGTATACATCCCGAGTTGGTGACGGGAACCAAGGACCACGAGCTGGACCCCACCAGGTAAACCCGTCCTGCTCCTCCTGGATAAAATCCTCCTTTAGTTTTATTCGCTTCTCTCTTCCTGATGGCGCTCTGCTTTCCTACCAGGTGGAAAAAGTATGAGATCCATGATATCGTCATTGAATGTGCCAAAGTGTCCCTAGACCCAAAGGAGGCATCCTGTGAGGAGGGCTACGCCACCATGCCTGAGAACTTTTACCCACAAGCCCACCTGCGGGCGCAGGACTCCACATCGAGCCCCTACACAGACCTGCACAGCAGCTACGGTGAGAAAACACACCGACACGTTTCAATGCTGAATTTATCTCACATTTCTGTTTATTTCTTTGCCAAAAATCAAAATATGTTTTCTCTCAAAGTATTCACGCCCGTTTAGAAATTTTTGATGTATGAGGACTAGGATTGAAACGATTAATCGTTTATTGAATTAATCATCAGCTAATCTAGGGATTGATTAATCGCTAACTGGAGTACACAGACTGAAAACAGTGTAATTTACTGAAAAAACAACATAATCAGAGCAATAATGAAACCAAAAGTGTACAGAAAATATCCACATTTAGTATGCAAGATAAAAACACCTTTATATGTAAACATGTTTTAGCCAAAACGTGGCTTCAAAGTTTCAACTCTACTAACAGTATTGATTCCTCATCTTCTCAGCAGTAACTTTGCAGCCGCTACGTTTACGTTTACATTGGCCTCCATGTTTGTTCTCGACAGGAAGTTCCTCTTCGACGCCGTTCTCGACTCCGCGGCAGCCGCTGCCCCCGCCCCTGTCCCTGCCGCCCCTCTCAGGCTCTCAGTCCTCCTCGTCCTACCGAAGCCCGCAGACCTCCAGACGGCAGGTGAGGTCATCCAACAGCTGGGCTAGGACTGGATTCATCGAGTTTCAAAAATTTAATCTTTGGAAAATCTCCTATTTATTTGGGCTTTTAACTCTGCCATGAAATGTTGGGGCCAGCCTAAGATTTAAAATGTTTTAATTCAAAGAATAAAGTTATAGTATTACAAGAAAACAGTCAAAATAATGCAAAAATAAACTGTTGTTACCAGAATAAAGTTTAAATATTTTGAGGATGAAGAAATAATTTTATGTGAACTCCTAAGTGAAAAATATCAAAAAATTCAATCAGAAATGTTGAACATTGGTGATGGTATCACTGTTACAGATTTCAACACCTGAGCATGAATTTATTTTCAGCACCAAAAGTTCAAAACAATCTTGATAACTTTTATTAAATTTGGGAGATTAATTTTTTTTTAAATTGCCCAGAAATCAGATTTTTATCCAAAAAATTTTTTTTGTTTGTTTTCAAAAGTCTGACTTTTATCTAAAAATTCTGATTTTAATCTCAGGATTCTAACTTTTGTCAAAATTAGAACTTTTTTCCCCTCAAAATTCTTTTTTTGATTTCAAAATTTTGACTTTGTTTTCTCAGAAAATTGAAGTCAGAATTTTGAGAAAATCTCCAGATTCCTTTCTTTTCTTTTTACCTGTGGTCCTAATCGTCCTCCGTTGTTTCTGCAGAACTCCAACAGTGAACTGAACTCTTCCTGTGGGGGGAAGGACCCCCTGTGGAGCCCCTCCTCTCTGTGCGGCATGGCCACGCCCCCTTCCTCCCGGGGCATGTCGCCCAACCTGGAGCTCTCCCACAGTGCCTCACACCTTCCCAGCCGCTTCCACTGCACGTCAGGTACAGAACCAACGCCGCGCCGTTGCATCGCTCCGCGACGTTCAACGCCGCGCCTGAATTCGTTTGTTTCGCTCCGAGCAGGAGGAAAAGGAACGCCGGCCTCCAGCACTCCAGCCACCTCATCCCCACCTCCCACTCTGTCAGATGACTTCCCTGTAATCTCCTTACCAGCCAACACGGTCCAGTCCAGTCCGCCGAGAAAAGTATGAAAACTCCCCGTCTGTTTTATTAACAGCTCTGTGGAACAGGAATGCAGTCATGGCCAAAAGTTTGACAGACATAAAAATGTTTTTGTAGCTTGAAAATGTGACCATAACTGCACTTCAGTTGTTCAAAACTTTGTACTTTACAGTTTTGTTGCCCAGATGGAAACAACTTGTACATATATTTGTGTGGAAACACATTTTAGTTGTATTTTAAGGCTATAATGCATTAATCTGTTCCATGTTTGCCAAAACATTTCGTCCATCGCTGTTAGGTTACCATATAGGAATTAACTCAATGAAGTCCGAATAATTTAACTTTTTTTTTTTCTAGGATCGTCGACAAGGAGAAAGCAGCAAGCCTGGACTGGTGAGACAGGAGCAAGTCAGAGAGATGGAGAAGAGTGTAGAGGGAGCTGGAAACAGAGGTGAGTAAAAGCTGGACCTGATCCCATAAATCAATGAAACAAGGTTAACACTTCCAACCAGGTCAGGATACAGAGAACACACTGGTAACCAGCCTGTTCCTATACATCTCTGAAGCTTTAATTGAACTATTAGTTTATTTTTACCTTAGTGTGTCGTATCTTAGCTTATTTAACTTAGCTTATTTGTACCTTAACTTACATTGTTTGTAGGTTATCTTAGCTTGTTTCCCTTTAGCTTATCTTCTTTTTACATTATCACATCTTATCTCATCTTGGCATAGCTTAGCTTATTTTAGCTTAGCTTGTTTTTCTTATTGTGTCATCCTATCTAAGCTTATCTTGGTTTAGCTTATCTTTGTATTAGTTTACGCTGTGTGTTATCTTAGCTTATTTCACCTTAGCTTTGCTTGTTTTTACCATATTGTGTTATGTCTTAGCTTTTCTTGGTATAGTTTGGTTTAACTTATTTCAGCTTGGCTTATTTTTACCTTATTGTGTTGTATTATAGCTAATCTAATCTTGGTTAAGCAGCTTAACTTTTGCTAACTTAGCTAGGCTAACCTAAGTTAGCTAACATAACCTACTTAAGTTAGTCAACTAACTTAACTAGCCTAAGTTAGTTAACTAAACTAACTTAGGTTAGTTATGCTACGCTAAGTTAGCTTAGATAACTTAGCTTTTCTTAGTCTTACCTTTGCTTACCTTATTTATAGCTTATTATAACTTAACTTATTTCACCTTAGCTTATTTTTACCTTATTGTGTTGTATCATAGCTTATTTTAGCTTAGCTCGTTTCACCTCAGTATCATATCATATCTTAACTTAGCTTGACTTAGCTTAGCTTATTTTTAGCGTAGTTTAGCTTTGTTTTTACCATACCTTATCTAAAATCAAGCACAGAATCTGTGAAACCTTGTCTGTTTTCTGTAAGCGTTTTCTTCAGACATCCGCCGTCTTTAAATATTTATTTTTTCCTCATCAGACGCAGAAAGTGCAGCGAATGTCACCATGACGCTGACGGAGCTGTCGGTTTTCATGACGAGGCAGGAGCTGGACCTTCAGCTGAGAACGGAGAAGGAGAGAGAAGAAGGTCAGTCTGTGGTGCAAAACAATGTGGCCATGAAAAATCATGCAAAGTCACATTAAAAGTGTCTTTATTTACCGAATGGCACTTCATGACAACAGCCAAAAACATTCATTGACACTCCTTCATGGTCATGTCAGTGTTATGCAAAACCTTTCAAATAAAGTTTTAAGGGCAAAACTAACTTAGAAGAAACTTTTGAGCAAGAAATAGTAGCTTGTTTTAAGTCAATATTGATGAAAAAGCACAACTTCCACTACAGATTATTGGATTTATAACAAGGGAACCACCACCAAAAATTTTTAAGTGAAATAATCTGCCAATGGAACTAGAACTGGGTTGCTAGGTAACAGGCTGGGCGTGGCTGTGGTTGCTAGGTAACAGGCTGGGCGTGGCTGTGGTTGCTAGGTAACGGCGGTGGAATTTTCTACTAATGGAACTAGAACTTTTTCATCATTGTTGACTTAAAAAAGCTTGTATATCTTGCTGTTACTTATAAATTAGTCTTATTTCAAGTGTACTAAGATATTTACAGCAGACACTATTGTGATTATACAAGCGAAACACAGTGTGTCATTGATTAATCAGATTAATCATGAATTTCTTTGTGTTTCCGCTGCAGCTGCCATCACAGAGGAGCTGATGAAACTCACTGAAGACAAGCAGGAGCTGCCGGGGCTGAGAGGCTACGACTCTCCTTTCTTCCACACCACTGAGACTCTGACGGGCCGCCAGACGCAGAACCCGACCTCCTCCTCCAACGCCCACCCAGGCGGCGCCGTCAGAGAGCCGCGCTACGCCGCGTCCACTCCGGACAGAGCCGAGAGCACCTCAGGCAGCGGCGGCGGCGGCGCTGGCGACAGAGCAGCGGCGTCGGATCGGTCCGCCGTGGATCGGTCCTGGTCCTTCCAGTCCGGCTTCACCCCCATCGACCACCACCTGCTCCGGAGCCCCTCCGCCCCCGACGACGACTCCTCCAAGTTTGAGATGTTCTCCCCGAGCCCGTGCGGCAAAGCGCCGATTCCGTACGAGTCGCTGTTCGCGCTGGCCCTGCCCAGGGCCGCCTCGCTGTTCGTGGGCCAGAAGACGTCGGAGGCGGTCCACAAGGCGGCGATGGAGAGGCTGCTGCAGCGCGAGGAGGGCCTGGAGGACGGGGAGGAGGAGGGCGTGGTGTCGGCTTCGCCACTGGAGGTGCTGGATCGCCTTGTTCAGCAGGGGAGTGACGCACACGACAAAGTCCTCAAGAGGTGACGCTTGCAGTTGATGAAAATATTGTTTTATCTGTTCTTTAATATTTTTACTGTCATTAAACGTAACATCAGTTGATATTAAATATTCAGAGTTGCATATAATGGACCAACATGTTTCCCTTTACTTTAGTTCTAACTTTTTAATAAGGTAAAAATGTGAATTTTGACTAAACGATATATATTGAAATAAAATCACAGGTTTTATGGTATAAACAATAATTCTGAAAAACAAATGGTGACATATTTACTAAAAAAAAAAAAGAAAATAAGATTTTTTCTCCTGTTGGCAGAAAACTGCAAAAACAGAAAATCTTACCAATTAATTTTGGTCCAGTTTCTGGTGTGGTTGTTTATTTCCAGCTGCAGTGAATCTCGATGAACTTGTTTTTGTTTGTCTTGTCCTTTCACAGATTACCTTTGCCAAGTAAGTCAGCTGACTGGACTCACTTTGGAGGTGAGGAGCTGAACTTTTCTGTTCAATTTTCAACAGATTGTTGTTAAAAATTAACAAAAAGAAACAAATATAAAGTGAATAAACCAGCAGGTAGTTTAGCAGATTCAGAATGTTTGTGGAATTAAATCTTTTGTCAATCTGGTCATGTTGTAAACACAGAGAGACGCTGAAATGTTCTGAATTTTTTTTTTATGTTTGTTTTTTTTTTTTTTTTTTTTTTTCAAAAATGCAATGGAAAAAACACTTTTGCCTCACATGAGTCACATGATCAGCAACCGGATGTTGCTACTGGGGGAAATGACAAAAAAGAAGACAGGAAGTAGTTGAAGGGCATGTTTTTTTAATAACTTATTGTGCATGTGTTAAGCTCGAGGCCTGGGGGCCAAATCTGGCCCGCTGTAGCTGTTTGTGTGGCCCTGTAGACTCCAGACCCTGATTATGGAAATTCACATAAAATCAACAGATCCCAGGATTTTTTATGCTAAAGCATAACTAAGTTTATTGCATATTTTCTGCAAAAATGTAGAAAAATGTTGGGTTTAAGTGACACTAACTGTAGAAGTCAGTTATTTCTTACTTTTATGACAAAAAGTCACATGGAACGTCATATGTAAGCGCAAATATTGCAAAATTACTTGCAAATATTTTTTAATTAGTTCCATAAAATCTCAAAACAATCACAAAAACAGTTGCAAAACTCTGTAGGGACGGAACGGTTTGGACAGATGTTCAATATTTATAAAACAGAGAGACTGATATTTATTGATAGTTTATCAATACATTCTGGCACAACCGCCTCTGAAAGATCTTTCATGATCTTAATTTGGCCCAAGATAAAAGTGAGTTTGACACCTCTGACGTACAAACTTATTCACATGTGATTTTAACTGCATTTCTTGCAATTGTGTTTTTTCGACATTAGTGCAAAAATTGACAAGTTTTGCACACATTTTTAATGGAAACGCCGGTACTGACTGCAAGCATACGTCACTCAAAATGTTTTTCTTCTTGAAATAAATCACTGAAAGTTTTTCTGTTTGAAACCAACAAAAAACAAGGATTTTTATGAGACATTGAGTTAAACTTAAAGTAAAAGTAGAGTTTTTCTGGGCTCTGCAGTCAGTGAGAAGCTATCAGAGGAGCGCCAGTGATGGGTCACATGCTCTGAGACATGAGTGGTATGTTAAAGTGTTACCGAGCTGAACAGGGAGTTTTCTCTTTTCAGCTCAGGCTGATCAAAACAACGTTCCCACAGTTCTCATGAATCCCTCCACCTCTGAAATGAAAAAGCCGACCAGTTAGAGATGACTCGGCTTCTGTTGTTTGGATGCCAGGCCACAAGAATCCCATTTTCTCCAGCTGCAGCCCACAACAACATAAAACTCTAATTAATCTTCTGGAATTTAATAAACCTCCCTGGTTTTCCTGATGGAAGTCATGTCATTTCTACTGAGCTCAGTCTGCTGCCTGCAGGTGAGAGGATGTTTCAGGACTCACCGAGCTTTCAGGAAGTATTCCTGAAACGATTAATCGATCATTGAAATAACCGTCAACTAATTTAGCAATTATTAATCATTAACTGCAGTAGTTAATGAGAAGCAGGCCTGCAGATGAGAAACTGGATCAGGATTTATTCAGCCTGAAACGATTAATCATATTAATCGTGATTAATTGATTGTTGAAATAATTTTCAACTAATTTAGTAAATGATTATTTAACTGGAGGATACAGAGTCAAAAAAGGCCATTTGCTATAAATCCCCGTTTATATTTACTTTTTATGCTTAGCCAGATTTGATTTCTTTAAGTTGTGTAGAACTCGGATAGGACTAAACCGATTAATCAAATTAATCGTGATTAATCGATTATTGCAAAAATTGTCAACTAATTTGGTGACCAATAAAATGTTAACAGGAGCATACAGACTCCTAAAATGGGCACTTGGTTAAAAAAACCCTTCATATTTAGTTTTTATGTTGATGTCAGGCTAAGAATGTATTATTTTTCTAGAATAAAGTTGTACAACAAAAAAGTTCAAATAATACGAAAATAAAATGTAAATTTTACTAGAAAAAAGTCGTAATATTAAGAGAATTGAGTATTTTTTGAGAAGTCCAACACAAAAAAATAACAAAAAAATCTCAATAACACTGGAAGCTTTTTTTCTTCATAATTTTAAGATGTTATTCTGGTAAAAATGTGGCTTTATTCTACAAATATCATCCCTTTCTTTTTGCATTTAAACAAACCTTCTCTTAGCGAGACGAACGACTGAGAGAAAAGTCATTTTTCAAACTATTTCCTGTCATTTTTCATCTCCTTTTTTAAATTTTTGTTGTCAGGCTCGGCTCCTCTGGACGAGCTCCACACGCTGCGCAGCCAGCTGCTGCTGCTGCACAACCAGCTGCTGTACGAGCGCTACAAGAGGGAGCAGCACGCCGTCCGCAACCGCCGCCTCCTCCGACGCATCATCAACGCCACGGCGCTGGAGGAGCAGAACAACGCAATGGCAAGTTTCAACTCTTTACTACTTCTTAGCCGCTTTCCAAGAAACAGGCAGCTGCTAAGCTAAAGTAAATAAAACTGGGCTAGCAGGTGTTTATCTTCCATATAAACTATAAAGTATCTTTTTGTCATGCTTGCAGATGAGTAGGGCCACTGAAAACAAACAGAACGGGATTCTGACTTTTTAAAATCTGAATTCTGATTTTAGTTCTGTATCGATCTATGAGCCAAAATCCAAATAAATAGCCAAGTCAGTTATGATGACAGTTCATGAAATGAATCATGTGGCTGTTTATTCTTTGTAAATCTGCATTTTATCCAGACTGACAGTTTGTTCCAAATCCATCCGGTAGAGTTCAGTTTTAAGACTAGACTTGCCCAATGGTGCGCATAGTATTTAAATAATTGATAGTGGAAGAAAAGTGGGAATTTTGAG